CATATTTTGTTCAATGGTCGAGGACAAAAAGCCTCCTCCAGGAAGCGTTATGATCTTGGTGTTTCATTAACTGAATCCCTTGCTGCAGGTATAGCATAATGACTACGGTTAATTTCCTGAGGGAACCTTCCTCCGCCATGTAGCCCCAGTAACTTCTCTGGAAAACACAACCAGGCTAGATCCTTTTTTGCCATTGGCAAGAAACCACAGTGCCTAGTATTGGGTAGAAAGTTAACCTAGATAATTCTTTCTCTGGCTTTCATTATTCTATTTGAGCTTTCAGCAAGGGAGATTTAGGTTAGATATTAGTAAAAATGTCTAACCATATGATAGATAAGCAAGAGAATAGGTTACCAAGAATCACCATCACTGTAGGTTTATAAGAACAGTTAGACAAATACCTGTCAGGGATGGTCTAGGTTTACTTGGTCCTGCCTCAGTGCAGGGACTGGACTAGATGACTACTTGAGGTCCCATCCAGCCCTACATTTCTATTATTCTATGACCTATACAGAGTTTAGTGATAACAATGCAATACCGTCTCTGTCAGTCTCAGTTACCTCATGTCCACTTTGAGAACACAGTGTCACACTGTGAGGTGCTGTGATCCTGTGTCCCAGGTCGCAACTCCCAGAGTGGAGAGCCAGGCCTAACACCTGGGACACAGGAGATGCCACTGCCCAGGGTGAGGGGAGGGTGGGCTCACTCTCCAAATCCCATCCCAGGCCTCCCCTCCTCACCGGGAATTTTTCAGGAATTTCATTTCATCTCCCTGGAGGCAGGACCTGCCCTCCCCTCCCCCAGGGATGATAAAATGAAATAAAATAAAAATTCAAAAAAAAGTCATAGGGCTCTGCTTATAACTTTGTCAAAGTAAAAGCATTTGGGCTTAAGTTTTCCAGGCTGGGTGTCTGGTGTTGGCCTCAGATGGAAGTTTTTGGAAAATTTCAGCCATAATGGTTCAGGCATATCTGAAAATGAGGCTATGGAATAACATGTTGTTTTTCACGTTTTCATAAATTCTGGTGATATTTTCTTTGAAAAGCTCCAGCATCCCTGTGCTTTGGAACAGGGTCTTGAAATTTAATAGGGGAGTGGCTTTTACATCATGGATGTGCCTTTTGCTGGCCTGTTGGTTGGGGGACGGAGAAGGGTTGGTGCCCAAGCCCAGCAGTACTGCCTACTGGTTATATTCTGTGCTGTGTTGCCCTGTGGTGGGGGGTCAGTGGCTGAGTCGCCCAGCAGTGACAATTCGTGGCTATGTCGCCTAGGGGTGAATGTCTGTGGTCAGGGGCAGGAGAACCTGGACCTTCCCTGCTCACCAGGTTCCAACTCAGGGGCCAGTAAATAGTAGTTCACACTCTGTGGCCTCAGGGGGCCAGTACCCCTAGGCTTGCTCCATGGGCTACTTCCTACCCCAGCTTCTGTTCCTCTGTTGGTGCTGCTTGTTCGGTTCTGAGTCTTGTCTGGTAGCACTCCAGAGGGTCTTCCTCTCTGTCGCAGCTTGTCGTCATTGACCTCCATGGTTGGAGGGCCTGCAGTGGACCAGCAGTGGGGCCTGGTCCCAGCTGTGTGGGGCCTCAGTAGCTTCTCAGCAGGAGCCTACAACACACTCCTGCTCTGTCCACCCAGACTGAGCTGAGCTGCTCCCTTTTGACCTCCGCTTCCACTATGAGCGTGCTCAGCAGGAGAGACTGAGCAGAGCTTTCTGAGCCCAGAGCCCAGAGTTGCTCTTTAGCCCTTATCTCACCAGTGTAGGGCTTGTAGCCAAATGTGACTGAATTATAAGTCTTTGAAATACCACAGTTTTCACATGCTCAGTAGAGACTTCTCAGTTTATAGCTGCTAAATTACTCCCCACATTGTCCAGGCTGACAAGGGCTTTCCCCACAATTGCAGTGCTGGGCCATTGTGGGCTATCCTGAGTCTGGGCCTGGCAACCTGAATTGAGAGCAGTCTCTCCTGCGATCTCAGTGCCCCTCCTTCTGGCAGTGTGGAGAAGGAAGCTGCATGACTAGCATGCAGAAGGGATAAAAGCCAGATTTGTGCAGAGGGTAGATTGGTACAAGGTGCCTGAGGGTGACTGGGACTGGAGGCTGGCAGAGGAAGAATGGCACTGGGAGTTGAGGGAAAGGCAGACTGAGAGCCAGAGGGAGACTGGTACTGGGAACCAGGGCAGCAATAGTAAAGGGAGACTGCAAGCCAGTAGCTATGGGTGAGACTGTGATTGGATGAGGAGCCAGGTAGGAAACTGGGACTAGCTGGGCAAGGAGACCAGAGGGTGAGGGGAAGGAGGTGAGTACATGATCACATAAGACCTCTGTCTCATTCAGAACACAGGATGGCCCTGCTCTGGGGACGAATCAGAGTTGTATAGTAAAAGAGGCTGTTCTCTGAAGGATCCCTGCTTCATTTGTTGCAGAAGTTGGAAGGTGTGCAATGAATGAGGCAGGGAATTGCAGGAAGAAAAAGGATGGGCTCCTGGTTAAGGAAGTTGAATACTACCCTGGAGAACTGGATTCGATCCCTGCCTCTGCCACAGAGTTCTGATGTGATGCTCCTTTTCTGGATGCCTGGCTTGAGACTCTGGGTCTGACTTGCAGAAGTGCTGAGCTCTCACAGCTGCAACTGGGAGCTATGGTTTGAACATACTGTAATAAAAAGTAAAGAATCAGGTCTTCAGCATTTCAAATTGGGCACGAACAATTGGTGGATACTTTTGACTTTAACTTCTCTGTGCCTCAGTTCCCATCTGTTAAATGGGGCTAATAGCCACTTAGCTCACATGGGTGTTGTGAAAATACATTTATTTTTGTTGGTGATACTATAGTCGGATACTATAGTGAGGCGCTCCAGAGAAAAGCCCATGAGGAAATTATAATTCTGTCTTCAGCGCAACAAGAAGAAAATAAAATATTTAATTATTTAGTGCACAGGATAGATATTGATCACTTAATTGAGGCCAGAGTCCTCTGGAAAAAAATAGTATGTGATTGTGTAATTAAAACCTGTACCATCATGCATGTACACAGGCGGACTGAATTAAGATTGCACAGGCAACCTTAATTCTGGCATGACCTAAATTTGCTGTGCATCTAAAAACACTTACAAGTAATTCTTACCGGCTCCAGTAAAAGAATGCATATCACTACAGCAGTGATAGACAATGGTGTAGATCAAAATAGAAAATTAATACCATATCTCTGATTCCAGGATATGTGCATTCTGTTCATTTACTTTCAATCCACCCTTCCCTTCTTTCAAAGGCCCATTTCCATCTAGTTGTAGTCTCTTCTTTCTGGAAAGTTAGATATTAAGTAATAGAACATGAGCATTGCTGAGATAACCTGGGACTTTACCAACGTATATTTAATTAGCTGAATTTGTTAAATAACTATAGAGAGGAAAAGTTCATAAAATAGTGGGGAAATATGCATATCTGTATCTTATTCAGCTATGAATGTTTGTGGTCTGTTTAAATTCAGTGCCTTAAGATTCCTGAGAAATAGAACAAAGTAAACATCTCCACTTGTGAATTTTGCAAGCAGTTGGAGATTGTGTAAAAATCCAAAGGATGACGTTTTCCAGAGAATGTTTTGCATTGCAGTGAGTGATACTGCAGTATATGGGAAATTGTTCTTTCTTGATCAAATAGTCATGCTAATCTTTTCAATGTGTAAATGAAAGATGCGCCTGCTGCATTCTGGATCTTGACACTTCCTTTAATTTCACCTTAGACACTCTTGCTTTAGGGCTGCGGAGTGCATAAAGGGGAATTAGCTACACATGTATAGGATAAAGCAAGCTAGTAAACTACACTGATATTGCTTATTTAAAGCAAAAATACAAGCATGTACTTTTTTCCTGAGTTGAAGTGACTGAGAATCCTGTATAATTTCCTGTATAGAGTCATGCAAATATAATCTGTAATGACTTAAAATGTAAGGATACTAATGGCTGACTTTGGTATCCTGTCATGTAGCAAATGAGAAACTGCTGCCTGCATTAAACATATGTCACTGTTAGTAACATTCCGTTGGAAACCTGTTTTCTAACCAGAATAATTATCCTTATTTGAATAGAATAAATTACAAGCAGTCCAGGCAGATTTCATTGCATGTAGAACAGGTACAGTCACTGGTAGAAAACTCATGAATACCATTACCAGAACAGTCCCTCCACAGTGAGTAAATGACATAAACGAGACCAAGGAAATACAATGTATTGAATTGCTCCAACAATAAAATTTCATTTCCAAAAATAGAATATGCCTTAAACAATCTTCATTATGTACATTCCATATAAAACAAGCATGTGGGTTTCACATTTAATCATAATATTTAAAGATCTGTTTGATTATACTCAATTTCTGTGCAATATTAATACAGTGGAAAAATGTATAGGAGACAGTATTTTATATTACCTTCTAAGGGCCTGATTCTTTATTCTTTGTTCAGGTGATTAGTCGCATCAAAATTGGTGGGACTATTTGCTTCAGTAAGGGTTGCAGGATTGGGTTTTAAGACCCACAATTCCAGGAAAGCACTTAAGTGTGTGCTTAATTTTAAGCATGTGCGTAAGAGCTTTCCTGAACAGACGTGCTTTCCTGAACCAGGTTCTATTTAAGGATCTTTTTACCTCACATTTCTGTCACTAAGTTTTGTACAATGTAAAAGCAATGCATAAATATCTGAACAACAGTGCATTTTACATTTTTAGGCAAAAGAAAATATTGTGGCTCTACAGCAAAGGAGGAATTTAGGATGAACTCATCTTCAAAGAGCATACGTAAAGATTTTCACCTTACTTTAACTCTTTATTTTACAGAATTTCAAACCCATCCATTAACCAATCATTAATATGTAAAAGTAAAGCATAGGATAGATGAACTTTTACTAATCCTGCAATCTGCGCTTTCATTAAAACACTTTATCCATGAAACTGTTATGTCAATGTCCTCTATTTTCAACAGCAAGAGAAAAAAATCAACTAGTAAGAAGATCTTTCCCCCGGAAAAATGGTTTATTTGATTTACTCAAACCATGAGTTACATTATTCTCTGCTCATAAACTAAACTTATTCCTGAATATGTACAGGTTCACCACTTTCTGTTTTGTGCTAGGTTATGTCACCAGTACTTTTTACATTATGCAAAATAGACAACAAGAAAGGGATATAAATGTACAAAGAGGACATTTTTAAGGAGTATCTTGTATTTAGGAAGTTCATAATCTTCGTACAAATATATAAAATATTTCAATAATCTGCACTCATTATATTTCATTCTGTTTCTCTTTTCAGATCTGCAAGATAAAAAAACAGACAAGAAATGTATCATTTAACATTGAATTCATGGATATTTTTTGAGAAAACATGAAAGTTCATGTAAGTTCTTAATGAAAATATATTCTTAGCATCTGCAATTTGCCTTGCACACTGTGTAGACATTTACACCTGTGCAGAGTGGAATACAAAGTGGGTGTAAAATACCATCATCTTGATGTGGTACCTTCCTCTACCCACAGTTCACATCTGTTTAATGAAACTGTGGATGTCCTCATGATTCTTCTAATTGTCTTATTCTTTAATGAATCTGTCTAAGGTCTTGGCCACTATGGCATCCTGTGGCAATGAGGTCCACAGGATAAATAATAAATATGCATTGCATAAATATAAAAAACACCACAGTATTTCCTTTCATCCATTGAAAATGTATTGCCTTTCAATTTCACTGAATGTCCCCTGGCTGTTTAACTATGAGAGAGTAAATGGGAGCACCTAATTTTCCTTCTCTATACAACTCATTAGTTTGTACACAATTATCATATCCCTCTTATTCATTGCCTCTCTAGACAGTCCCAGCCTTTTCAAGTCTCTCTTCATATGGAAGTTTCTCTTCGCCTCTATTTTTGCCACTTCTCTCTACACTCCTTCTATTTCTGCTGTATCTCTTTTGAATGACAGCGCTGAATACATTATTGTAGGTGAGAGCATATGATACAATATTTTCTGCCCTATTTTTGTACATCCTAACAGTTCGATTTTGTGGCTGCTGCTGGCACCCAGGTTTTTTTGCCTAAATAGTTAGTTAATGTCTAACCTTGCATAGGGTCTAATCCTGTTCTCTTTGAAGTTAAGGGAAGTGTTACCATTGATTTCAATCATACAGATCAGGTCAATAATGAGGAAATACCAGATTTGAAATGCAGGAAATTTGCTCTCTTGGGATATTTGTTTAATCGGTAAAATTTTAAGTATTTTCAGGATACCTGTATTTGGTGTAAACTCTATTGCACTCAATAAACTTTTACTAAACTTCTCAGAAAATTAAACAGTCATAGCACCAAGAAAAATTACCACGGTTTATAGCTCACAATATTTTACATAAATACTGATTTTGTTGCTCTTCCTAAGATGTGGGGGCCTTATCAATCGGAACAAAAATGGAAGAGAGACTGGGACTGATCAGTTTACAGCAGAGACAAATAAGAGAGGACCTAGAAGTGCTATACCAAATAATCCCGCATGACTAATCCTGATGGGTTGGACATGTTACATACTTTTTGGAAAAGAAGTCAAATTAATTAAGAAAATGAATTCTTTGTCTAAAAGAATGAGGTAAAAAAATGTTCACAGAATGTTTCAAACACTGTTTATCCCTTATAGTAATCAAAGCAGCCTGATCACATCTCAGTTTGGCTTTGTACGTTTATCAGCTGCCTGTCACTTAATTTCAGCCTGAATTTCCTTCAAGTCATCTCACAGACAAATGGCTTTCATTGGACATCTTTTCAAATTCTGGTCTCACTTTCACCAGTGTTAATGTGAAGGAACTCAACTGAAGTTGGTAGAATTACACCAGATTTACACCGGACTGTGCCCAGAATTTGGCCGCTCAAGTATTACATAGCCCCAGAAAGACACTGTTGGTTTGAGAGCTCTGACTACTCAAATCCCTTGCACCTGCAAGTTGCTATATTCGTAAAATGACAAAAATAACTTCAAAGTTTTAAAAGTCTGCTTGATGGATTCCCAGCACACAAACACACATGCCTTCCAACCTGGGTAATTACATTCTGCCCACATATAGTCTCCCTGCACTTTCAGTTCCCTGCTGTGTGACTGTTGCTGAATGCGAAGAGGTGTGGTTGCTTTTCAGCCATAGGTGAATGGAAATACTGTACTTCTGGTGACATTCGCTCAAACCCTACCCTCAGATATGCATGCAGGGCTCTTACTGACATCGGTGCAAGACAGGCTGTGTACACTTAATAGCATAATTTGGCCCTTAATTTGTAAATTATTTTGTGATCCTTCAAGCTGAAAGATGCCAGTGTAAGATATTGTTTTATATAAATAATGAGCAGCTGCTTTAACTAGAGTTCCTCTGTTTAATGGGCTTGAGTCAGATTTTTAACATCACTATAGCACAATAAACATCTTAGTCAGTAATATTGTATTTCCAGAAAGGAGTATCTCCATTGACAGCACAACTACAAAGGAGCCATTATGATGTCAATGCAAGTCAGAAAGCTCCCCTGTTTTCCATCTCCCAATTCTAATCTTCCCTTAACTCCCACTTACACCAGTTTGAGCCTCACTTATTTCCTCAGTTCTACTCTCTTACATAAGAATGGCCATCTTGGATCAGACAATTGGTCTGTTTTCCGACAGTGGCCAGGCAGTGCCAGATGCTTCAGAGGGAATGAACAGAATAGGGCAATTTATTGAGTGATCCTTGCTCTGTTGTCCAGTCCCAGCTTCTGGCAATCAGAGGTTTAGGGACATCCAGAGCATGGGGTTGTGTCCCTGACCATCTTGGCTAATAGCCATTGATGGATCTATCCTCCATGATCTTCTCATTCTTCTTTGATCTCATTTATGCTTTTTGGCCTTCACAACATCCCCTGGCAATGAGTTCCACAGGTTGACTGCACATTGTGTGAGGAAGTACTCCCTTTTGTTTTAAACCTGCTGCCTATTAATTTCACTGGGTGACCCCTGCTGCTTATGGAATGTGAAGGGGTAAATAATACTTCCCTATTCACTTTCTCCATACCATTTATGATTTTATAGATCTTCATCATCTTCCCCCCCCCCCCTCCAGTCATCTTTTCTAAGATGAACAGTTCCAGTTTTTTTAATCTCTCCTCATGTGGAAGCTGTTCCATACCCCTAATCATTTCTGTTGCCCTTCTCTGTACTTTTTCCAATTCTAATAATCTTTTTTGAGATGGGGTGACCAGAACTGCACGTAGTTCTCAAAGTGTGGGCATACCATGGATTTATATAGTGGCATGAAGATATTTTCTGCCTTCTTGTCTATCTATTTCCTATTGGTTCCTAACATTCTGTTAGCCTTTTTGATTGCCGCTGCACATTGTGGATAGTTCTCTGAAAACATCTGCTCAATGACTCCAAGGTCTTTTTCTTGAGTAGTAGCAGCTAATTTAGACACAATCATCAGGTATGTATATCATTTTATATTCCTCCAAATATCTACTATTCTGTGTGTGTGTAAGCTGAGCTCTGTTGATATTGATGGGAGTTTGTAAAGTAAAACTACATGCTGCTATATACAGTATTAATATGCTACTGATATCCAAGTGGTTTAACTGCTTGGGTCACCTCAGTCACTTGCTCAGTTCCTCCATCCACTCCTAGGACCTTCCCCTTACTATAACTGTCCCTTGCTTATAAATCCAGCCCTTTGACTCTGGACTCCCATTGAAATCTATAGCATATACCAGCCAAAGTTAAAAACTTTAAATTTATTCATATTATTTTTTGTACTGCTTTATGGCCCCAGTTGAGACTGGGGCCTTATTGTGTTTAGATACTTTATAAGCAGACAGTGAGAGAGAGTCTCTGCCCTGAAGTGCTTATTAGTCTAAATAGACAAGACAAATAAAAATTTGGGAGGGGAAACAGAGGCACAAATAGGTGAAGTGACTGGTCCAATACTACAAAACCAGTCAGTGGCAGAGTCAGGACTCCTGACTCCCAATCCAGTGCTCCATTCACTAGACCACACTGGTTCCCCTACTGCATCATGCCAGCAATCTATATGTATTGTGGGAGTTTTTCTTCTTCTTTTTTTTTTTAACTGAACATTTTAAATTCTTTGAGCTGTATTCCCCAGTCCACCAAGTTCACTTTGCACCACTTATGAAATACAAAGTGAGCCTAACTCAGCCAGAGCCTCCCAGTCGAGGATTGCCCCTGTGTAGGTGGAGTACGGAATCAAGCTCTTCATCTTTTAATTTGTTTTAATTCAGCGAATTGCTGTAATGGTTATGAGCAATGCTTCATAAATTAACAAACACTAATAATATTACTGTCATAGTTCAGGGCAACTGCACCTGTATTCCCCCTCTGTGGTCCAGCAAGGGCTCCCACTCTAGGCTCACAGCTCCTCAGCCATCATCTCTCCTGGGTAGTGACATGCATCTCTCCCTCCTGACCAGGGTTTTTGCAAGTTGCACAGTACCCTGCCTACACTGTGAGTTCCTAGCAAGCCAGACTGCCTGAGCTTTGCTTTCTCTCTGGAACAGGTTAATTGCCCATAGTTATAAGTTACCACACAGCTCTTTCTAAGCAAGTACGTTTATTCTTAAGGTGAGAGCATTACAGAGAACCTACACAAATGCTAATAAGCTTATCAGAGCTCACCCCAGCTCCCACAAAGCCTCTGGCCTGTGTCAGCCCTTCCAACCTACCGCTGCCTTGGACAATAGGTCCTTCAGTTTGCTGGATCAGAAAGAAGGCCCGGAGTCAATTTAAACTCAGGCTGTTTATCCAAAAGTCCTGTCTTTCTCTGTTGGTCTCTGGAGAATCCAGTTTGAACCAGTGTATATAAGTCTCTCCAGTTGGTGGTAGCTCTCTGGAGACATTACAACCTGAGTGAATTTGTCTAATCACCCAGCACTGTTCTTAGTTCCTAGAGGGCTGTGGTCACCTTCCCCCCTGGAATTACAAACAATCCCTGGCCCACATAAATTTAATATAGTAAGATCTCCCAAAGATATTGCATGAAATTGCCATATTTGTTACAATTACCTTACTCTCCAATGCTCTCCCAGCTCTCTAGAATTGCTACTAATTGCCAAATGAGTTTCCTTGCTTACCGACCCCTCTTTTAGCTCCCTGCAGGTTCCAATCTGCTCTGAACTCTCTCTGTGCTGCTCCAATTTGCTGTCTCTCAGGTTGCAAATGCAGTCTATTTTTAGAATACAAACTCCTACGGAAATCAATGGGAGTGTTTGAACTCAAAACTAGGATACTAGATGATACATTAATAATT